ACACAAAAGACTTCAATAAACGGGACACTTCTTTCCTGCAAATACAATTTCACAGGTGTTGGTAATACCTATGATTCTTCAAGGGATGTGCTCAAAGAGGAGTTCAACATTATGAATAAAGTGTTTTATTTTACAAATACCATTATAAACACAAACTTACGTCTTAAGAAACATTATTTTAATAACGAAAGTGCTAAATTCTTTCCAACAGTATAGATGTGTAGTGTATTTTGTCCGTGTGGGTTTGCCGTACTTTGACGTCATCGGCAGTTGAAGGACCCCGAGCCGATCTTGCACCCGAGCAGATCTTGTACCGACACCGGGTACGTGTGGACAGAGTTTTTTTTTAAACGAGATGGTGTGGATGCAACTTTTTGGAGGGGCGGATATTCGTTTAAAAAAAACCCGGCTACGTGTGGACTAGGCCTTTAGACTGGTGCTGCCGGGTCTCCATTCACCCCCAGTGCATTCATTACTACTGAGAAAGGTCATCCATCCATTTTATGAACCCGCTTGTCCACGTAGGGTCACGGGGGTGGGGGGTGTCTGGTGCCTATCTCCAGCGGTCAACGAGCAATCAGGCGGGGTACACCCTGGACAGAGAGCCAGTCCATCGCAGGGCAACACAGAGACACACAGGACAAACACTCATGCACACACACACTCACACCTAAGGACAATTTAGACAGACCAATTAACTTAACAGTCATGTTTTTGGATGGTGGGAGGAAGCCGGAGTACCCGGAGAGAACCCACACAAGCACAGGGAGAACACACAAACTGAGAAAGGTGCCTACGCAAATAAAAATCACATTTGATCATGCTTTTTCACAAAATCAGATAGTTAAGATAGAAATATAATCTCACCATATCATTAAAATGTAAAATACCATCAGGTAGGTTAGATATGTCAATAGTAATCACACGTGATCTGTTTTTAACAGTACGCCGGTTGTTGCATCCAAAGCCTGCAAAAAAACACGCATTGCTGCTCATTCTGCATTGACTTTGGCGAGTGAGACCCATCCAGTATGGAGGTGACACTGCTATGCTCTCCAGCGCCCAATGGAGTGTCTAATGAAGCTATCCATTAGCATTAGCAACTCCACCACACAGCAGAACTTCTCCAGGCTTGTGGTATTTGTGGATTAAACGTTGCAGAGCAAACAGGGTCAGTGGTAGAGTCACGTTGCTGTTAGCCAATCAGAGGAGAGATGTCTGAATATCAGGAAATAAGACTCCAAATCCCGTTGTGTCCTTCTCACCTCTGCTCCTGCTCACTTCTACCTCCTGTAACACGAGCACCCAAGCTTTTTTCCATAGAGGACAAGTCACAAGGCAGAGACCTGCAAATGTATTAGTCTTTAGTGTATTTACATCTGTGGTGTTTAATAAATAAATGAAAAAATAATAAAAAGTATACACACAAATATGCATGAATAAATGCAGTTATTATTGTCCACAGGGTAAAAATATGACGCATTTAGACCCTTTTTGCTGAAAGGTGACATTATTTCAATCAACTTAAAATATTAGGACTTTGAAAAATGTATTTTAAGTTAAGTGCATTTTCCTTAGG